ACCACCAGTGACCGAACCAGACCTAAAATCCTGGTTCGGTTGCTTGGTTTAACCTAGGCGCTCGCCCGAAGCGCCTAGCGCCTAGGCTCGAGCAAGTGCCCAGGCGGCGCCTCTTTGAGGCGCGTCACCTGGAAGTGAAGCGAAGCGCTCGAGCCTCCCCCGAGCGCCTAGGTGAGTGCCCGAGCGCCTTTTTAAATCACTGATCTATTGGCACATTAAAGCTACACTTTCTCTTTGTCTTTTGGTTTTTCTCCTTTTTATTATATTTCAGCCAATTTTTCTTCAGCGAAAATGTAATTTTGTTCATGAGACATTGGTAAGAAATAATGTTCTTCCTACATTTGACCTAAAATTAAGGTAGGTTTTCAACATAATGTTCTTCACTGAGTTATTATGTATATAGTTGACAGGGAGATGATTTAGGTTCTGATGAGCATATGGGTATGAATGGGGATTCAATGTTGACAAGCTATATTATTTGGATAAAGAGAAATGGTTTCAACTGTTGGTGTTTTCAAATAATCTGACAAGGAAACCTCCAAATGAGCTCATTTGTGTATTATACATAGATGTGTTTGTTTGTTGATTACTTGCTCAACTTAATAAGAGCAAGTGAGGTTACTGTAGGAGAGCTAAGAATTTCAGATGTGGTTGTGATACATGCATCAAATTTTGATTTATGCAAGAACTCTGCAACTTACTTTATTTCATATGTATAATAACCAAGTAAACTCTCAAATAAATTAAAGATCATACAGTATGTTCATTCACGAACAATGACAAGATTTGAGAATGCTTTAGACTGTATTGAGGGTTTTGTTAAATGGTTTACAAAAAGAAGTTAGCAGTTCTTCTGAGAATTGACTGATAAATATGGCTTCTTGACTTACATGTATGTGCAATTGTGCTGGTCTTATGCATGCACATTAATGCTTGGTTACTACACATTTGTCCCTCTCTGTTTTATTATCTGTATTCTGGTTGTTGATTTATTTTGCATTTGTTCTTTCTTTTGCTTCCACAATAATATTGGGCTTGTGGAGTTTTAATTTATGAGCATCCTTTACTTGATCTACCACCCCCAAACTATTTACCCTTATGAATTATTTGTTCTGAGTTTTTCCCTGATATGACAAAATAATATACACTGGGCTTTTTCTTAATGCTCAATATCTGGATTTGATGGAACTTTTGTAGCTTCTGGGGCTATTGAATCTGGAAAGAGCAGATTAGTACTTTTGAAAGGGAAGGAGAAAGAAGTCTCTAACGTGAGAAACTGATAAAGATGCAACTTTTTTTGTCCTTTGATCTTTATAATCATAGTAACCATTTTGAATATTCTTCATCAGGTGTCTAGAAGTTTGGTGCGACAGCCTTCAGTAAGAAATTCACCAACTCCAACATCTAGACAGAACCAGCCAAGTGGAAGAATAATTAGAGGCATACTTTCAAAGGAAGGGCATGTGGATCAGCCATATGCATCTGAATCCCATCCTGATCTGCAAACACAAATGGCAAAGGTGAAGGACAAGCGCCTTCCTCGGCCTCCCAATGCAAGCTCAAATATGAAAGACTACATTTCACATAGTTCGTCACTTGCATCTGTTTCTGATGGTGATGATAAAAAATATATAGATGATAAGGTTGCTATAAACAACAAACATGGTTCTGTATCAATTAGCGAAAAGTATGAAAAGCGAACCAGGAACAGAGATAGACCTGATCGCGGTGTATGGGCACCCCTTCGTCGTTCAGACAGATCTCAGTCTAATGATGGAGTTCGTCCATATTCTGAAGCTGCTCAGGCAACAAATTCTTTAGAAAGCATCCCCATTTTCCAACAGGCAACTGGTAAAGTCGGGGAGGTGGACATGGTTGTTCCGAATGCTTGTGTTGGACATGGCAGTAATTCACATACTACGTATGAAACATCATTAGGTCATGGAGAAAGAAAAGCTGATCTGCCTTCTGCAAATAGAAGTGAAGACATGAAGATTCATGGAGGTGGACGAGTTGATTTTTCTTCCATGGAGAATGGTGAAGCCCTGTTTCTGCACTTTGAACCAACTCAGTGTTCTTTTGCTTTTCTTTACCATATCACTGATCATTGTTTGGTGACATTTTAGGTTCCCATAGGCATGTTGGCCGCCGTGGATTAGCACGTGGCTTAAAGGAAATGGATAGCTCTTTGAATCTTTCAGAAGGAAAGAGTTCCAAGAGAGCTTCCACTGTCTACAGTACCCATGAGGTGAATAATGATGAATTTATATTTCTAGACCACTATCGTTTCACAAGATTGTACTTATTTGTCCCAAATAATTTGCAGAGACAAGTGTGGGTTCAGAAGTCAGGCTCTGCCTCATGAATTTTCTAGTGATTGGTAAGATTTTTTTTCAAAAATTTTTAATTTTCCATTTGTTAGTTACTATTTCAGCATAAGTTGAGGTTCCACTAAATTAAAATTTAACTAAAAATTAGATAAGATTGCTCTGCAACTGTCCTGGTCGTGAGGATAGAAATAATATACTGTCCATCATCACATAATCTACAGGCATCTTTTGTCAGATAGTTCATACATTAGCACCATATTCCTATGCTGCTATCTTGATGAACACAAGATTTTCAACCTGTTATCCAAATTTTCTTGAATTTTCAGAAACTTGTCTTTTTTTATAATGCTTAAACTTTGATAACTTACTTCTTCTTAGAGGAAATATGACAAGCCGTTTGTCATCTCCTTTGAATTCTGAAAAGGAAGATAACAATTTTTTATTTGATGATTCATGAATTGTTTAGGCTGTGAATATAACTAGGGGGCATTGAGTTATTTGAGTGTACAACTAGATGGTTGGCAGTGGATTTGTAAATTTCTTTCAAATAAATGGATGACTTTGTTATGCTATATGGAATTTCCTTCAGCAGTTACCTTGTAGTATACTTGATCTTGTAAGTCCATGCAAAATTGCATTCTTATTCACTTCTAAATCGACACATTTGAGTTTTTTTTTTGTTTAGTTGTTTTTACTTGCAAGGAATTTGATGTTATATTGACATCCAGGTAGAGCCTGTCCTATAAAAACCTTCAGTGGTGGGAACCTCATAATGCACTGGATATTTAGTGTACTGTTATATCCAAATCTTTTGAATGTAGCTATTAGTTTATAGTTTAATTTTTCCAAGTCATGTGTTGTTAAATTGATTCACTTATACTAATTCTTGAAGTTCATATTTTTTGTTCTTTGGTAGGACAGTAATAATAGTCTCCCTATCTTTTTCCATATTATCTGTTTCCAGTACTGAATGCTTGGCTCCCTTGTATTATGTCCACCTTTCTCTTGATCAACTTACTAATATTCTAACTTCAGGATATATGCAGTACTGCAGATTTGTGAAACTGTGAGAACATTTTGGCTTTGGAGCTCAGTTTATCAATTATTGATAATGTAAAGTGCGCAAACAGTAATGCGTATTTGGGTAAATGCTGCTTCAAGGATGCTATTGCCAAATTGTTCACAATGAATTCCATTCATATCTCCACTAGAACCAAGAGCTGCATGACCTAAAGTAGCTAGGAGGTAAAATAAATTTTCTTATGGGTCTGTGAGTCACAAAGAAGAAGGGGTAGTTCTAGATGATGGTGGCTGTAGTTGTTGGCCTGGAGACGGAAGCTTTGTTGTGCTCCAATTACCATCAAAGAGTTTGTGTTGGCTAAGATCTCTTTGGCATGGAGACGTAATCGTACTTCCTTCTCAAGCATGTCATGCAGAAGAACGAGGAGGCTTTTTCGAGTAACTGCTCTTGGTAGAAAATGTAAAGAATAGTTGCGAAGGCGCATCAGTTCTTTCTGGCCATTGTTTATAGGTTTGAAAAATCTTATATGACAATGCTTCTGCAAGCTACTTGATTCGGTGAATTACTTATGTATTAGTAGGAAAAATCCCTATTACTGGCTACAGAGTGGAGGGTAGTGAAATTGAATGTGTGGATTGGGTACTCAGCAAAGTCTGTTTGGATGAAATTAATGTTCTTTTTTTCTTTTTTGTAGTACATGGATGAAACTAGATGTTGACTGATGCATAAAACTCAGATTTTTGTTCCTTGCTTTATGCTGTTCTGCTAAATGGACTATGTGGTTAATGCAGAAGTTTGAAGGTTATATGCTACAGAGTGGAGGATAATGTGGTTAATGTTCTTTTTTTCTTTTTTGTAGTACATAGATGAAACTAGATGTTGACTGATGCATAAAACTTAGGTTTACGTGTCTTGCTTTATGCTGTTCTGCTAAATGGACTATGTGGTTAATGCGGAAGTTTGAATGTTATATCCTAATCTGCTAAATATTCACAGAATTTATATTGTTAGGTATGTGCAGTGGGATATTTCTGAAGCTATTCTTTGACGATCAATCTCTTTGTTTTTGGATTTCAATGGCTTAAATGTAGTTGTCGAAGTGTCTGGCACAGATGATATGTTAGTACGTAAAGGACTTTTGGGATCATTCTCTTGAAGGTTGGAAAAACTGGTGGGAATGGTCAAACATTTGTTTGACCACCAAATGTGGCAAGTGTAGCAACTTCTTTACAGTGATAATGTATAATTAATTCCTGTCAATGAGATGCATTAGTAGAACTACAGCAGGTTAGTGATGGGTTGCATGCTGATTTGACTTTAAATCAGCTGCGTAGCTGAGATAAAAATCGCCAACAGATGGTGAGTAATCTTTGTGGACAAGCTGGTTATTGAATCTTTAGTTTATGATCATCTTCGGAATGATTTGTGGAGTGAATCTACTGAATTGTTTTTGCCACTTTGATCTCAGTCTGCATAATAATTTAAATATTCGAACTCAATGCTAAAATGTTTTAAGGACAAAAATTTTTTCCTTTCTTTTCTCTTTGTCCTCTCTTCTTTTTCTTCTAGTGTTTATTGCTACTGTGATGTTCTATTTCATTTCCTCTGGAAAAAAAAAGAAAATTATAGCAATTAGCCAGATTTAGCACTTAAAAAGCTGCAGGAGAAGAGGAGCATGATTCTAATCTGCTGAACAGAGAATGAAGAATACATGGCAGTCGGACTGGGAAACACCATTTAATATCTGTTCTTTGTTGATGGGATGATTGATAGGAATGAGAAAGTGTTGTTGAAGGAAGGCCTCACACAAATAAGCGTATGAGCTTGTGGAAGACATGAATGGATCAATTGGGGATTCTCTGAGAAAAGCTAGGGAGAAGCCAAAGCATGGTGGTCATGAGAAGGCCAACTGATGCCTTCTCTTGGGCAAGGGAGAGGAGCTGGTTGAGCAATGTAGGTTGGATAAAGCTGCCCTGGCATCAAGACCGAGAACTCGACCGAATCCAAAGGTGCCACCTGTAACAACATATAGATCAGAATTAGTTTTATTTACAGGTGATAAAAAAAAAAGGGGTTAGGCAGGGCTTACAGAATGAATCCATGTAAAAACAACATCTTAATAATGTACAATGTGGGAGTGAAAGGTGCAGAAAGGAGGAGCTTCTTGTAGGATTCATGTTTGCTGAAGGCTTGAAACTATAAATCAATAAATCACTGATATCATCATAAAAAAGTTGGCATTCTTCTAGACGTGGGATTATTAAATCTTCATTTTCCGGTAGTTGCTCAGAGATTATCTTCTCTTTTCCAACTTGATCAAAACACTTCAAAAAAAATGTGAAAAGACTCGGTTGATGTTTCTCCTAGATGCCGAATTAATTCCTCCATCATCATTTAATATTAAATCCATAGATTATCTCCAATTATCCAACATGATTAAAAAAAAAAAAAGGCTTCAAAAATGTGAAATATCTCACAACTATATCCTCAAAAATCTTCTGGATGTGAAACTCAATCTAAATTTAAATTTAGTTGTTCATTGATCATCTCCACCTATTTTCCAACCCCAGCAAAGCACCTCAGACATAGGAAAAATATCATTCTTCTTTTAGCTGTCATTATTCTTCTGGGATGTGGGATTAAATATTCCATTTCATTTTAATTGTTCATAGAGTATTTATTATTATCTCCTGTCAGAAAATATGAAAATTCTCAGTAGTTAAGTCTAAGCTATTCCACCATTGCAAGACATTAGCAATCGACCGAACTTACATTTTGCGACTTCTTGATCTTCTCCGAATGCATCTGATCCAGTTCTCCATGAGCATTGGATTGGGGTGGTGGACTAGAGGCTCTCGATCGAAGTAAATGTTCGAAGATTGCCATGATTAGGAACATGGACACCAAGATCGCTGTTGCAAGGAAGCCGAAGGAGAGTGCACTCATGGATGAGCCGAAGTCCTTCCATGCTGCATTCCTGTCGCTTGTTCCTGATGGAGTGGAGTTGTCATGCCAAATCTTTGTCCTGTCGCCGAAGCCATTCATGGTGCTGCTCTGCAACGACCGAGGCCTTCCTTCCTTCCTTCCTTCCTTCTCCAACGTGCTCCGGTTTCAGGATTGGCTCAGCGTGGCACGAGAGACCACCATGACTAGCCTTGTGCTAACTTTAAATTCTCTGTGACCACAACAAGTTTTACGTGTTGAAGGAAAAGGAAATGAGAACATCGTCTAAGAACACATAGAAACTAGAATCAGCATGACACGAGAAATAGGAAACTTATCAGCATGACAATAAATTCCTACGGTCGAAAACTCGAATGAAACAGCATTGGAGGACTCCTTTTGCTGACACAAGTTGTTTTCTTTGTAAAAAGGAAAAAGGAATTTGATATATAACTTATGAAGAACAAAATATATTTCGTTGGTATGATCACGCTATGCTATCGTCTGAAGAATGTTTTCTACCTGAATGATGTGATAACTTGGATTGAGAATTTGTTTTAGGAGAGAAGTCAGTCAGGCAAAAACACCACAAGCTAAATTGTTCCGAGTTGGCTGCTATCTGGATCTAGATTTTCTGCTCCTCATTCTCAAATTACATCATGGAATCATCTGTTTAAGCTCGAGAGCAACATTTTAATGCAAGTTCATGCTGCTCAGAGCAGATGATAACATCAGAAATCAGCATAAAAGAAATGAATGAGTAAATTCAATTTAGTTAGATCTCTCCTCAAATCAGAGGTATCAATTCCTTAAAAGTTAAAATACAAAAAAGAAATATGATTTGAAACTAATGGATAAGAAACAAAAAAGCAAGGAAATGGAAGAAAAATAGCTAACCTTGAAACGAAGGCCACAGATGATGATCCAACACCGGAGCTTCTTGAGAAGGCCTTTGTCATGTAATCTGATGCCAGTGTCAGCTTGGCTTTGCTGTAGCTTAACTATCAAGGAAAGAATAATTGATGTTTAAGCCCAGATTGCTCTGATCTCGTTGTACATCAACTTACAAACTGTGTTAATGAAGGCCCCAAAAGCATGCCAACACTTGGGAATCTCCCGAACGCTTTTCCTGTGCCTGCCCAACTTTATGCTCTCCATTTGCTTCTTGTGTTCCTGTGATGAGTTCACCAAGCTCTAACAGTAGTCAGAAGAAAGGGTGGATTGGTCATTGCCACAAGCACAAGTGCATTACAGTCAAATCTGATAAAGGTAAATGCACATAAAGCAAGTTTTGATCTTTATTTTTACAGATGAAAAGCTGCAAAGGAAGGTGACGAATAATCATATGTAAACCACATTTGAGTGATGGAACCACATGAACAGATGCCATCAAGGAACTATTAGGAGGATATCAGAGAGAGAATGAAAGAACACTGAAAGCCAAGAACATGCATGACAGGAAAAACCAAAGAAGAGGAAGGAAGAGTTGAAGTGATCCATAACCTGAGGCTTTTGTCAGAGACACACAGCTGATTTATGCAGCACATGCGGAGGCAAAGAAACACTGAAGAACTGCAAAGATCCAATTGGTACCGCAAACAAATGATGTGCACCCACCCTTTGCTTCAAAGAGAAAGAATATGATGCAGAAGGTGCCGCTCATCAAAAGAAGAGATGACTTCTTTTTCAATGTAATGACGATGTCCCGAATGAAATTAAAGCCTACAAAGATCTACAAGCTATCTTTGCCAACAGGTGGATTAAGAGTGACAAACTAATTGCATGATCTTTCTTGGTTTTATATGTTGAGATGTTGAATTTTCTGCTATCTCAGGATCTTACTTGAAAAGTACATGAACATCAATCAATATGAAGCAAAGCTTCATGCCTTAGTTAATCTAAAACAGCATGTCATTAACTGTGAATAATTCTTGAAGGTGCTAGCTAGCTTGGCAGGTAATGATTGAATCTCGCATTCGTCGCTTATATGAACAATTCCCTCTCAGAATCCAGTGTCTTGTTTCTGCTGAAATCTAATAATTGAATCACATGATAAAGTATTCTATTTTTCTTAAGATTATTATTTGAAGAATATCTATCATTCACTTTTTTATCATCATCAAATAGACTGTCAACAGACTCGAAGGTCCCTCCCACATGCATCAGGTATTAGTTTTCTCTTATACACTTGAGAAAAGGTGGGCAAACAAACCTTGGAGAAGTGAATGGCAAAGGAAGCTACCAAAAAGAATTGGAACAAGATCAGAACATAGTAATTCTGGAGCAATTGATTATAGAGGGAACATAGAGAAGTAGTAATACAATCTAATAAAAGATCAAAGGTAATTTTAAGAGACTAGTCTAACTAATAACACATCTCATTTTCTAATTACTCATGTTACTACTGATGAACAAGTGTAAAACTCACAGAAGACTTCTGAACTGAATCCCATAAAAAGCAATTACAACAAGTGTTGCTGCTGCTGCAATTAGGAATGCAGACCCAAATGCATGATGAAACAGTTTAATGGTGCATAAAGGATGCTAAAAGATCTTCCTAACATCACCAAATGATTGTGGTGCCTACTCCAAATGAATCTGTTTGTTTGCAGATATCACGAGAACTGAAGTGTCTATGTTGGCCAATTGCTAGAGACCCACTGAATAAAGCTCACAAAAGATCTCCTCATATGTAGCCCTGCCCCATATGTGTTGCTCAAAAGAATATTAGCTTAACACAGTTGGTAGCCAAACAGATCTTAGCTTTTCTGCTCAAGAAAAAAGAGTATCTTAGCTTAGTTCAGCATTTTTCTGTTTTTTCCCTCTTTGAAGTCTTTGGATTGTCTATAGACACCCCATCTGTTCATATAATATAATATAATATAATATTATATATGTATATTTATATGTATATATGTGTGTGTATATATATATATATATATATATATAT